GAAAAGAATGCTTTGCATTCCATTCCAATGTGATGTGAGAAAAAGTTCTTGCGAGAGAGAGGCCAGGCCAGATGAAGGTGAAGTCCCAAAACCGAACGAGCGTAATCTATGTAATCTATGAAGTGAGTCTAGACATCTAGAGCTCAACTAGCTATGGAAGAGACTGTTTCAGTGAATTTGGGTACAGTGAAAGGAAGTCAAACTGGGTTCTAGTCTTTCTAACGATTAGAAGGCTGAGTGAGTGGCGCTGCTTAATGAGTTCATCAATGTTTGTCCCTTAGTCTTATGATGATATGCCGGGAATGGGTCCTTAGATTGTGCAGTGCATTCCTACCTTTCCTGGCCTGATTAGGGGGAATAGGTTGCACATGAAAGAGAATAAGCGCTCTTTGAAAGAACGACGTATCCGCTCTTCTTGTTACAGAATCGGTTGTGCACAATTCGACATAAATGGGTAGGTATATAGGTATAATAGTAAAAGAAGACAAGCACATTAATTGATGCCCTCGAATCAGCTCTTAGGGCAGGAAGGAAGGACCAACGTCGTCGAGAGATGGGATTCATACCCAGCAAGAAAGAGCATCCTGCTTCTTTTGACAAAATAATAATAGAATATAATAGAAGGGGCTTGTTCTCTTTTCGACGGGAACGAGAAATATCATAAGAAAAGGGAAAAGTCGAAATTTTATTGTGTTCAGTATCGTAGATAGAAGATCATTCCAAGTGAGATGTCCAAGATCAAAGGATGGAGGAAAAGAGAAAAACACTTCAATTTAAATATTTAAATAGAGGGCTATAAGAAAATGGAATTAAAATAAAAATAATAAATCAATAAGAAAATTGTGAAATCAAAAAGCGTGATTTAGAACAAAGGCAAAAAAATCATGATTGCTACATTTTTCAATTTCGGTTGTTCTCATATCGAATCTTTTTTTTTATGGTTGCGGAACTGATAGAACTAAAAATCAGCAACGTACATCCCGATGTACGATCTATACTTCTTTCATTACTTCTTTCGTTATCGATTTCGTTATGGACAAAACGTAACTATTGGGATTGCTATGGTCCTTTCTGTTATATCTCTTTCGTTATTGCCTTAGCGGGAACATTCCTCTTTTCTGCAACTTTGATACCTGTAGTTTCTTGCGAGGAGGATAATTCTTTCCGGCTGCCCCCTAGTCCGATCCCATTGCCGGAGGAGCCTCTTCCTCAACCCGAGGCGCCGCCGGTGCCTCGCCCCATTATAGCGGAATTAGCCCAACCTCTTCTCTCGGATGAAATGAGAAGAAACGTCCTTTATCGTCGGTACTTGCTTCTCAATTGGGGGGAGGGGATCTCGACCTGCGACGTATGGTATCCATTATCGACGCTCAAGTCATAGTGGAACGATATGTGGAAGCTACTTTAGTGGATGATGGGTTTACGCCCGCGTCCATTTCCGACAGCTCCAGAGAGCTACGGGGCTTCACCCATGCTCCGCGAGGAGAGCTTTTGAGTGCACGTACCTATGAATCGTACGTCACTCAGATTCGAGAGCACGGAACCTGCGCAAGCGTGCCGTATCGGCGCGTTATAAGAGCAGTCCAGAACTATGATCTGCTTTTAGAACGACGACGATGATCATAGTGTGGCTCGCTTACCGGGGCAAACGTCATGTTTGTGGAGGACAGGTTGGGTTGAGTTACGGAGGATAGTGTGCATCTTTCTTTCTTTTCCCCGGTCAACAACCAAGAAAAGCTTTCTATCTTTATTGACTACTCTTACAGGCTTTCTGTCATGCGGAGGGAATTTCTTTATCTCAACCAATAATGCGACGCATCTTTCAGTTTGATGAGACGAGTTTAAACAGTCACTCTACAACTACGACCACATCCACTACAACCGACAATAAGAACAACTACGACTATAACCGATTATAGTCTTCAATCGTCGACACTCTAAGTCAAGATGCTGTCCAAAGTATTTCTAATGACCATCCTGGTCTTTTCCTAAGACTGAACGGATAGTGGAACTGAACACGAAATACATGAAAAATTGAGAGAGTTGATGACTAGCGGGCAGACCAACGACGCCGTTAAAGTTGAAACCGAAACTTTAACGACGCCGTTAAAGTTGCAACCGAAACTTTAACTGGGAAAGCGCCAATATCCCTTTTTGGAGCACATGTTAAATGATTTGAACACAAACAGAATAACAGGTGAAGCCTATAGGTTTGCCCTGGGTCTAGGGGAGACAATAAGCAGCCCCCTTGAGCAATTTACCATTCTCCCATTGATTCCTATGAAACTAGGAAACTTGTATTTCTCATTCACAAATCCATCTTTGTTTATGCTACTTACCCTTAGTTTTGTCCTACTTTTGTTTTATTTTGTTACTAAAAAGGGAGGAGGAAACTCAGTACCAAATGTTTGGCAATCCTTGGTGGAGCTTATTTATGATTTCGTGCTGAACCCGGTAAACGAACAAATAGGTGGTCTTTCCGGAAATGTTAAACAAAAGTTTTCCCCTCGCATCTCGGTCACTTTTACTTTTTCGTTATTCCGTAATCTCCAGGGTATGATACCTTATAGTTTCACAGTTACAAGTCATTTTCTCATTACTTTGGGTCTCTCATTTTCCATTTTTATTGGCATTACTATAGTGGGATTTCAAAAAAATGGGCTTCATTTTTTAAGCTTTTTATTATCCGCAGGAGTCCCACTGCCGTTAGCGCCCTTTTTAGTACTCCTTGAGCTAATCTCTCATTGTTTTCGCGCATTAAGCTCAGGAATACGTTTATTTGCTAATATGATGGCCGGGCATAGTTCAGTAAAGATTTTAAGTGGGTTCGCTTGGACTATGCTATGTATGCATGATCTTTTATATTTCATAGGAGATCTTGGTCCTTTATTTATAGTTCTTGCATTAACCGGTCTGGAATTAGGTGTAGCTATATTACAAGCTCATGTTTCTACAATCTTAATTTGTATTTACTTGAATGATGCTATAAATCTCCATTAAAGTGATTCTTTCTTTATAATTGAACAAAAGCGAGGGAGCGAGTGGAGTACTAGAAAGGAGGGGAAGCGAGTTTACGAGTAATCTCTCTCGCCAAGACTCGTTGGCAACTATTTGATCTTCCTTGCAGCATTGGATCCGTTAGAAAGCAAGGAATGGGTCAAATATAGACTATGGTCCGCACTCTGGTCAATTTTTTGTACCAAAGTACACCTCTATGCTAGGTCAGGCCCTACACTCCAAGGGATGCTATTATCTTTCGTGCCCCCATGATAGCTGTCTATCTTAGAGAGTCAGCGTGAGACTTATTGGCAAGTGCTGATGCACCTTAGCACGGGCGAATCCGTTCATCTGAGACTTCATTATGGAGAGCCATAATCTTTTCTAATAGCTTCCTTCCTTCCTTCCACTCAAACACAAACCCCAGAAGGGAACTCAGCCTCATGGCATATATTATAGCACATGCATCGTAAGATAAGGGAAAAAAGGAAATCCTTATCTTAAAAGGAAGAAGATCTGGTCTCCATTCTATAGGTTCGATGGGGATTTTTTTTCACTCTATGGGATCGAGCCCTTATCAGAGGCGTGCCCACCGACACCAGTAAAAGTGTTCGGCTTGCACGTCTCTTTTCTAACTATGAAAGAATGGGCGCATAAATGTATTCTACCGCTCTTTGTTTACTTCTGGCCTTCCCCTGTGATTTATCCTACACGCGGGGAGTTAGATGTTGGAGTAACATCGTTTCCGTTCCATGGTCAATATACTCAAGAGTTGAGGACCCGAATTCAGTCTATATTCAGGCTGCTGCGGCGCTCATAGGTATTTTGACTCATATTTGGAAAAACTCGTCTCGTTCATCCCCGACTTCCTTAGTCACTCGAAAGATGCGCCTAACAGTGCCCCAAGCCAAAATAGAAAGAGGATAAGAATGGAAACTATCTAATCGGGATCGAGTTCCGACCATTCCTTTGAAGGAACGAACGAAGCTATTAGATAAGGAAGAATTTACTAAAAAAGACTGAAAGGGAATTGCTATCGTCTTCTAAAGGAAGGACGGGAGATTCCTTCGAATGGAAAGCCTTCTTACGCCTTTTTAGCGAGAGTTTTGACTGAGCCTTAACTTAAATGCCTCCAGAGGTGCGCTTTAACAGGACTTCCGCTTACATAAAATAAGCCTACGAGAAAAGACCAAGAACAACCTTCTTTAGTACATGGTCGATGAATGCCGCACTTGAATTTGAGAGGACACTTTGGCCTCCGTTGTTAGAGACTCATCTTATCTTCCTCACTCCCGAGATAAACTACTCTCGCAAAGAACCTTCCTTCTATTCCTTACGTCAAGACTCTTCCTTCTAGCGAGTTGCTTATTCTCTGGGTGCACGGAGGTTGGAGCTTTCTTCTTCTTTAGAAAGAGTCCTAAATGCATGAAAAGTGGACAAGGAATGTGGGATAATGGTAGGCCTAGGAAAATCGATAAATCGAAATAATAGCCTGTATAGATACAGGACTTCTCGGAACTTACAATAACAAAAGAAGATGTATGAAATCATACCACTAGGTACGGGGTTTTCAGGACTACCCCTACAACATATAAAAAAAGCCCGTAATAGCACGCGGAAGATTATTATCTTATGCAAAACTCTCTCTACACCTAATGTTGAAGCAACTCTCCGTCCGAAACCAAACAGATTCTCATATCTCCCGTTTGAACCTAACCATAAGAACGAAAGAAGCAGTATCAAAGCCTAGAATGTGAAAGAGAATTCCAAAATGAAATGAAAGATCCTGTCAAGGGGGAATGCCGCTTTGTATTATTGTAATTTATCTCTATTCCGGACAAATTGTATTCGAAGTTCCCAAATGCGGGAATAGACGGGCGTTCGATACGCTTCCCAAAACGGCTATCTTGTAGCAGACAACTAACGCAAGCCTACTCAATTAATCTCATAAGTAAAAGCCTGTTCGCATTGCAACTAATAGAAAAAACAACTATTAGACTAGA